CCCCAAAACCCCAAAACCCCAAAACCCCAAAACCCCATAAATCTAGTTTTGTGCAAAAGAATGGTAATTATAATAAGTTTGATTTTGCTATTTAGAAATATTCAGTTTGATTCCTACTTAATTTATTCTATATAAATCTAAATAAATCCTAAATTTGTAATGGAGATAAAATAAGACTGTAATTCTATCAAGCAGGTTCAACCTAAATTATCTTAGATTATTGATGATTTTGAAATGCAAAATAATGATTTATGTATCACAGACTTTCAATAACAAGCTATTCAATCTAAAAAAGAATTAGAATCTCCTACAAGACTGAGGACATCTAATAAATAAATGAGAAATCTGCTTAAAGAAAGATTAGGAATCAATAACGTTGAGGACATTGTAATTTAGTAGAGTACACCTGATTATCCAGAGATTTGCTTCAAAGAAATATACCTTTTTCAAGAAGTAATTGGTTCTGGAGCTTTTGGAGTTGTATTTTAAGTAGAAAAAATTAGAAATATTAATCCTACATCAAAATGTGTTGATAGCAAACCGATATCATAACTAGCTGCAGTCAAAGTAAGTCTAAATTACATTTCGTCACTAAGACATGAATTCCAATTTCTTACACTCCTTTATAGGTGATCAATAAAAACACTCTCAAAGATGATGGCTATAGAGTATTAAAGAATGAAGCTTTAATTTTAAGAACAATGGATCATCCTAATATAGTTAAATTTTATGAGGTAAGTATTCAAACAGGACATTAATAATAAAAGAGAGTAAATTCTAATTTAGATCTATGAGACATCAGATTTCGTTTTTATTGAAATGGAGGTAATAAAAGGAGGAACATTGAGTGATTTCATCAAAAGCAAGTTCTAATTTTCTGATTAAGATGCTAGTTTGATTATAAAAAGTATCCTCTCAGCTGTAGAGCATGTCCACTCTAAGAACTTCGTGCATAGAGACTTAAAACCTGATAATATCCTTATTTGTAATAACATTGAATTTAGATTGATATTTTTTAGCTGATCAAAATGATCTTTCAACCATTAAAGTTGCTGATTTTGGATTGAGTGAATCATTAAGGATTAATATAGCATATTCCTTGAACGAAAAAATGGGCACACTTCTATATATGGCTCCAGAATAGACTAAAAATCATGCTTATGGAAAAGTAAGTGTCTATTTACAACAATCAAATTTGAATAGAGAATAGATGTATGGGCTTGTGGAATAATTATGTACATACTGATTGAAGGAAGACATCCTCTCTTTGATCCACAGCATGATAACGAGAGGACTTTCCTAGCAAAGTTGAAAAATCCCTCTTGGATGTTCGGTGTTAATTTTACTATGATGGCTAAAGACTTTTTCTTAAAAATGTGTAATTCCTCTCCAATTGAAAGATACACATCTGATAAAGGACTAAAACATCCTTGGATAACAAGAGACTTTAACTCTTAAATTCCATAGACATAATCTGAATAGATTAGGGAATTTTAATTAGAAACCTTATTTAGACAAACAATTAGCTCTATTTATTTCTTAGGTTTAACTGAACTGGCAAATAATAAAATTGTATAAAGCAAAACATTCGAAGCTTATATGATAAAATGCTAACAATAGGTATAAGAAGATGAAAATTAAATTAGTAAAAATGGATCAATTCTAAATGAGGACGATTAATAAAGGATAAGTTAGATACCCTCTTTAAATGAATCAAGAGATTCCTCAAGGCAAGGGAGGTGATTTGTCTTTGATATCAAACCTGAAGATATTTTAAAATTTATGCCTGATGGTAATAGAAGAAAGATAACGAGTTTAATGAAGAGGCCGTAAAAAATAACAATAAACAGATATTTAACTACTGAGTTACCTCCTTAAATTAATGTGTAATAATTAGGAGAACCTAATGAGAGAAATAGCACCTAAGTACTAAGTGAAACTGGATAGTCAGAAGCTGATATGTAAGAGGAATCCATTAGTCCTAAGCTTAGGCCTCAACTTCTTTTTTCGAATCGTCAATCTACTTTGGATGAATCACCGCCAATAAGAGTAAAATCTACTAAAAGATACTCCAACAGAAATCCATCTATGTTAAACAAAAATAAGAATAATTATAGCATGTCACCAGCTAATATGAACGGATAAAGAAGAAGTGAGATGAAATAAAACAATTTAATTTCTCCTAAATAGTTTGATAGCCAAATCTTAAGTGAAAATAGCATACTTCCAAAGTAAAAAGATTCAATCTTGAAATAGATAGAGCATTATAAAACAGATAAAACTGACTCTCCTTTGACTTTAGAGATCAAAGACTCCCCAGTTAAGACTTTAGATGCTATTGATCTAGACAAAGGCTTTAGTAAAAACAAAATAGAAAAGATTCTTGATGCAATCCAATCGCCAAAGAAATCAAGTTTCCACTAGGCTAGGCGAATCACAACCAACATAAATTTGCAGCAATGCCAATACAAGATAGAAGATGGAAATTAGTCATTTTAAGAGCTATCAAATGCAGAATAGTTTTCAAGATAAATAAGCAGATAAGATAAACCCTTAAGCCCCAATTTTGGTGTTAAGAATATGCTGAGAACATCTCAAAAGAAATTTTCTAATGACCTATTTCAGCTTCCTATAATAAATAATGAAAATAGTGAAGTTTAGAACATCACTAACAGACGAGGAATACCCTCTGAGGATTGGTAGAAGATTATAGATGGCCCTGTTAAAAGAAAGTCTCAATTAAAAGCGTATGCTACTTCTTCTATCAACCCGGACGATAAAAGTACTAATTTTTAACCTTAGCTTTAATTAGTTTATGATACGACTAAAACATAGTAATAAGCAAGCTTTGCTGGCTATAATAAGTTCTAGTAAAGATTTATGAGCTGGAAGGAAAAGAAATCAGCAAACGAAAAATCCTAAAACACCACTATTGATTCAAAGATTAATACTGGGTATCATAGTAGATAGCCTTCAAGTCACAGTACCAGACAGCCAATTAACTACAAGAGGTTTAAGAACCAGTAGCAGTCCGCTTAGTATCTTATTAATGTTGAGGGACATGACAATATTATTGATGATAGCTCAGGTTCATCTTAAAAGAAAGTGCTTCCGTAGACTACTAAAATGAGGAATTTTAGCGTAAGCCTTTTTTTCCAAGCTAATTTTCTATAATAGTAAAAAATAGAGGAGTAGTAAAAAATATATACATTTAACTCAAGGACTCCCATAATGGATAAGCAAAGTGCTAAAAATTTTAACGCTTTGAAGTTTAATTTCAAGGACTAGTTGCAGGTGCACTCGAAGACCACAGCAAATACTAACAGCAACTCGAATAGTCACAATGGCCAGTAATAAAGGAGCAACAATAATATGATGGAAAAGAAGTTGAGCCCTTCATAGATAAATTATATGATAAAAAACAAACCTGTAAAAAATCAAATGGTTGTTTGGGGCTCGAATAGGATTAATAATGAGTTACTTTAAAATCCTTATAGTCTCGGTAAATGACTAACTGCAATTATTAATTCAATTCTAATTACTTATTAATATCATTGAGAGAATGAAAAGCTCTTTGAAAGTAATGAATATAATGTTATAAATATCATGATGTTTTAGGCTTTATTTAAATTTATATATTTCTATTTTTGCTCTAAGATATATTTAATGGGGTTTTGGGGTTTTGGGGTTTTGGGG